TATTCGCTAAGAAGAGTTTAACGCTGTGTATCTTATGCGAAACTCTTTTACAATGTGTAAAAAAAGAATTGTAATTTATAGGCAAATTTGTTGTTATTAAACTGAAAGTTATTTTCGGGATAACTAACCACACACGACAAAAAAATTGTCAGCCTTCTTTTTAAATACATAATTTAAGCTCCATCAAATTATCGCAACTGGTACGTTATGACCAGATGATATTCCCGTAAAACGATTGATCTTTGTGTTGTATTAATTTCTTGGGCATACCAAACATTATCTGAAACATGTCAACCATAATTAAATTGTTTTCTTCTTACTTTTTACAGTACAGTTTAAGGAAGTTCCAACGTACTGATTGAAGAAATGAATAAAATCAGTAGAGTTGAAAAATCAGTACTGTAGAACCATTGTAGCCGCAAGAGCTTCTTCCCGGACATAAGGTTTTCGTAAAGTCATTTAAGACGGCAATGGAAAATATGCTTTCCGACGACCACAAAACCAAACGTGAATGTGAATTTTAGGCTAAAACGATGGACCAACTATTTCAATAAAAAAATTAATTTGGGCAGGACGAAGTTCACCGGGTCTGCTAGTTTTAATAAAAAGTTAGTTTTTTTTCATGAACATACATGAGTATGTATTTTATTTGACACTGAATTTCTTTTTTATTTAACAATTATTCGTTTGAGATACATCCTTCGTGTAATTAAGACCAATTGTCTGCAGCCGCCTCACAGTTGCTCTGATCCGTGACAACCAATTCACTCAACGAAACTCCGTTCTGTGTCAAAACATCCTTACCTATTGTAATAAACTCCTCCGAAGGACTTCGTTCACGGGTTAGGATCCAAGCGACAGCTGCGTGGAGAAATGAAAAACCAAATTTTTAATTTAACCAAAAAAAAAAGTAACATAAGTCCTAATCGTTTTCAATTCCACTCACTTTTATGCGAACTGTTGCCGGCAGGTCGGCAGTAGTAAACGACACTGTAGTTAACGTAATCGGTAGACAAAATCCAGTAGTTTGTAGTTACGTTGTAGTCAGAAGAAACGGGGAATATAACCTTCAATTTGGCATTCTCAACTTCGACGGCGTAACCAACAGTTTCGGAGTATTCGTTGTTGCTGTGGTGTAACAAACAAATGTTGCGGTATAAAAATTTATTCAAAGTTGGAACTGATTTCACTTACGTCACATTAATCATACTATTCACAACACCAATTTCACCATTATCCTTCAGCGTATATTCGCCTTTTACGCACTTGCCATCGGCTTCGAAGTAAACAGGATACTTAGCATACTCATACCAAACGCCTAGATACTGTTTAGCAACAAAAAAAAAACGATTTATTGTTTTGTTTAATATTCTAATAATAATAAGTAATAATACTTCTTGGTATTACTTACCGCCGACACATTGAAATTGCTCTGCACAGTCACGTCGGATGGACAATCGCCACTGGATTCCACTTGTGCGTGAGTGAGACCAATAAGGGCCAGGGCGATGATTGCAAGGACCGATCTAAATTTGCGCAAAGTTAAAAGTTTAAACTTTCTAACCGTTCTGATGTTTTTTTTTAGAATTTTTTGTATCCACTTACTTGTGCATAGTGAGTTGCTTGGTGTTTCGCTTGTCGTTTGAAACTAATGGTTTGCTTGCGGTGACACTACACTATTTATAGTTATGAACTGAATTGATTTACAAAGCAACCGCTGCTCGGGCCTACGTTTGGTAAGTGCGGTGCGTTATCGTAGGCGAAGTAATAGAAAAAAACTATATTTACATACATATGTATAATTAAATAGTAATGGTTTAAAAGTTATGGCTCCTTCTTGGTGGATATTGATATAAAAGTACAGCCGCGCCCCTTAGAAGAAAGAACACATTTACTTTATCCTGAAACCAGATTTTAAATATCTAACGGAATTGATCTTTCCAAAACAAGGTTTTAACTAAATCAAGATTGAACAGAGTTATCCATAAGCAACAAAAAAAAATACAGAAACGGGTAGAACGAGACTATAAAGTCATTTGGACGAAAACGGTTTTGTATGTTTGTACTAGAGATGGGCACGGGCTTAAATTTTCAGGCCCGGTCCGGCACGAGGGCAAAATTAACTTTCAAAAACACGCACGAGCCCGCACGTTAAGAATTTTAGTGAGGCCCGGCCCGGCCCGGCCCGGCACGGCACGACGTGACACAGACCCAGCCCGGAGATAAAGAGCCAACTTTTATTTTTAGTTTTGTGTTTATATATGTATGTATATTTACTTAAGCTAATCAATTTTTTACATCAAAGATTTTTATCATATATTTTCTGGGAAGTAGAAAAAGTGGAAGGTATTTTATGTACAGATGTGTAAACAAAACTACTAAGTGTCTTATTCTTTCTATCGGTTTCCAAGTAATATTTCTTTTTTTGCTTTTCTCTTATCAAAAGAGTTTTAAATAGGTACTATTTTTGTTTTTTTTTGTATAAAAAGAAAAGCTTATCTAAATTTGTAGTATTAGCGACGGGCTTTTTCGTGCTTAAATATTCGCGCTTTTATGAAATTTTACCAAACGCCCATGCACGCACGAGTTCGTGCTGGCAGCAAATATGCCGGCCGGTACCCGCGGGCTTACGGCAGGGGGCCGCCGGGCCCGTTTCCATCTCTAGTTTGTACATAGCTTCTAGACTTATTATTTAATTCAGGTAAGTAGGATCTTTCCGTAAAAGACCATGCTTTGACGTGCAACGGTTGTTTGCAATAGCCAAAACAAATCGAGTTAGATATAGACAAATGTGTACATAAATGATCAGAATGAAAAAATAAATCGATTAAGTCCGTCCGTCCGTTCGTTCGTCTGTGTACACGATAACTCGAGTAAAAACTAAGATATCCCAGCGAAACTTGGTATGTGTACTTCTTTTCAGCGTAGAACGGATGGTATTCAAAATGGGCAAAATCGGACAAAATAACCACGCCTACCTCCCATACAATGGTAACATAGATAAATACGTAGTCTTCGATTAATCAGTACATACTGAAGCAAATTTATTTAAAATTAATGTTTGCCATAATTCTTTAGCAAAAAATACGTTTATGATAAAGATTTGGAAAATGGGCGTAGCACCGCCCACTTATGACCACATATGTGTATCTCGGTAACCGTTACATCAATTTGTACCAAACTCGGTATGACTGTTGTGCTTGCCACATAAAAGCAAAACTTTGAAAATTATTGAAATCAGACTAAAATTACGCCCACTTTTCATATAAATTTCAGATATTTAATGTTCGGCTCCGCCTGAACTTAGACTTTTTTACTTGTTTCATCTTGATGTTTGTACCGAAAGTAATTTTTTTTTTTTGGAAATTTCGTTAAAAATTAAGCAACATTGTCCATAAATCAATGGTTATCTCCCAAACTACTAATCTGATTGGAAATTCTGGTTTACATAGATAAGAGCAAAATTAATAGACTTTCTATATTAGCCAACAATGTCCAAACGAATTGCGATTAAGTGGGGACATTTCTTTGAGATCTCACAAAACGGAATCTTGGCTATACTTTCGAAACTGTTCTACTTTTTTATATTCCGAGTTCATATTCGGTTTAGCGTAAAAGGCGGACCCGAGGTCTTTCTATTAAGAAAAACTTTTGGCCACGCCCACTATAAATGATATATTGTTGGAAGCCTTTGAAAATATACTATGGAAATTAGCCATTTGCTACAAAAACAAATTTGGCACATTGTTTAAAATATGTACGGTACACGTATTATATACATACATAGAATATATTTGAATGATTATTTTACAGTTCGAGGGGTGTTTTAGGGCGCCGCAAAGCATGCGGGTATCGGCTACTTATTTATGAGTTGTTCCATACCAAAACGGACGGGATTCATACTTCATGTGTTTGATTCGTTTCAAATTTTTAGGGTTTATGCACAAACATAAATAATGGAGAAATATGGATTTCGAGCTTGATTAATATATTTTTAAAAACTTTACAGCACAAAAACAAAAACAAATCGATTTATAGTTGTCCAAATATCTCGAGAACGGGGCGAGGAAAAAGTTTGATAAAAATCACACATACACACATAAAAATTCTCTATGAAAGGAAATATTTTTTTAATTTTTTTTCTTGAAAAATTTTTAACATACAAACTTTTAGATAAAAGAAAACTAGTTTTTGAAAATTTGCCATCTCAAAAAAAAAATTGAAAAAAACACAATGGTAGCTCTGAGTATTGCGCAATATTTAAGTATAGTATTACGGGATGCACATTACATTAATTTGAGTTATGATTTTTTTTACACCGAAGTTGAGTTACTACAAACTTACAAATTTTTTTTATTTTTTTTTTACTTTTTTTGGGTATGCAGTTTTGAGGCACATTAAATTTTAGTATAATAAAGGGCAAGTTTTAAGCAACCTGGCAAAACTGGTGCTAATTTTTTTTTAATTTGCTTTGCAAACGGTTTTGCTCATTTTCTTCCATAAGAAAAAAGTGCAAAAAGTCGTCAGCACGAAAAAAGATATTAAAAATCAACGGAATTTCGCAGTAGCATAAAACCTGCACTTTATCAAAACTGCATACTCAATAAAATTCTAAAAAAAAACATTAAAAAAATTTGTAAATTTGTAATGTACTCATTTTACTCAACTTCGGTGTAAAAAAAATCATAACTCAAATTATTGTAGAGTGCACCCCGTAATACTTTACTTAAATATTGCGCAATACTCGGAGCGACCATTGTGATTTTTTTTTTAATTTTTTTTGGGATGGAATATTTTCAAAAACTATTTGTTTTTTATCAAATAAGTTGTATGTGAAAAATAGTTTAAAGAAAAAAAAGAATATGCTTTCCGACGACCACAAAACCAAACGTGAACGTGAATTGTTGGTTAAAACGATGGACCAAATGTTTCAATAAAGAAATTTATTTGGGTAGGACGAAGATCACCGGGTCTGCTAGTATTAATAAAAAGTTAGTTTTTTTCAAGAACATACATAAGTATGTATTTTATTTGACACTGAATTAATTTTTTATTTTACAATTATTCGCTTCAGACACATCCTTCGTGCAATTAAGAGCAATTGTCTGCAGCCACCTTACAGTTGCTCTGATCCGTGACAACCAATTCACTCAACGAAACTCCATTCTGTGTCAAAACATCTTTAGCCTTTGTAATAAATTCTTCCGAAGGACTTTGCTCACGAGTTAAGATCCAAACGATAGCTGCGTGAAGAAGTGAAAAGCAAATTTTTAATTATTTAAAAGTTAAAACTAACAAAAGTCCTAATCGTTTGCAATTCCACTTACTGTAATGCGAACTGCCGCCGGCAGTTTGGCAAGAGTAAACGACACTGTAGTTAACGTAATCGGTAGACAAAACCCAGTAGTTTGTAGTTGCGTTGAAGGCAGGAGTAACGGGGAATGTAACCTTCAATTTCGCGTTCTCTACTTCAACGGCGTAACCAACAATATCGGTAAGTTCGTTGTCACTGTGTTGTACGAAACAATTGTTGCGATATAAAACTTTATTCAAAATTTAAATGAACAAAGGAAAAATGGCATTGGTTTCACTTACGTGACATTAATCATACTATTCACAACACCGACTTCACCATTGTCCTTCAGCGTATATTCGGCTTTTACACACTTGCCATCGGCTTCGAAGTAAACAGGATACTTAGCATACTCATACCAAACGCCTAGATACTGTTTGACAACAACAACAAAAATACGAATTATTTTTTTGTTTAATACTGTACTTCTTTGTATTACTTACCGCCGACACATTGAAATTGCTCTGCACGGTCACATCGCATGGGCAGTCGCCACTAAATTCCACTTGAGCGTGAGTAAGACCGATAAGGGCCAGGGCGATGATGGCAAGGACTGACCTAAATTTGCGCAAAGTTAAAAGTTTAAACTTTCTAACCGTTCTGATGCTATTTTAGAATTTTTTGTATCCACTTACTTGTGCATGGTGAATTTCTTTGAAACTAATGGTTTGCTTGCGGTGACACTACACTATTTATAGTTATGAACTGAATTGATATAAAAAGCTACCGCTGCTCGGGCCTGCGTTTGGGAAGTACAGTGTGTTATCGTAGGCGAAGTTATAGAAAAAAATTATATTGTCTTGTTTATACCTACGAAAAAACCGCATTAACAAAAAACCAATTTGATTCATAACATATTTCTTTCTAACGTTTATTCCACAGTAGCGTACTCGGTAAAACCGAATTGAAAAGTAAACAAACTCCGTTAGTTTTATTCGACATTTATTTAATAATAAATTTCCGCGTTGGATCGCAATGGAAGCCAACAGTAATACAAATATATTTTAATAATAAAAACAAACAAAAAAAATAGCCAATTGTAAGTTCGCGCTAAATGAATTATTTGTTTATACTGGGTTTCTAACCGACGTAAAAAATAAAAATAAAAAATCAAAGTTAGTTTTAGTCACTTAAAACTTGCACTTTATTCTCCTGTAATTTAATGGGCTGTACTTATTAAATTTTCGCGCCTAGAATTTTTCTAAAAATTCTGAGTAAAAGGATTGAAACAGATTGAAACAAAAAAATTTCAAAACACACCAAGCAATCAATATACTCACGACACTATGGCCCAAATATAGTAAAACTGTGTTTTTAGTTTTATGATTTTTTTATTAGAACTTTATAATTTCAAAGATATGATGAATTCTAAAAATTAGTTTAAAAAATCAGTGCAATGCAGAACAAAATGCGGACCCAAATGAAGGACAAAAATGTGTAGGATTTAAAAAAATTAAAATTTTTTGTGTTCACAAGGACGAATAAGTATTAAAAATGCCCTTTTAATCAATTTTATTTGTTAAGCTAATAAAGTTAGAAGGACTATATTCGATGACTCTGTCGAGTTTATATTAGTCCTTCACATATATTTTTTTCGAAATACATATTGAAAAATGTCAAGGATATTGAAGGATAAAATTTTTAAAGACATTTGCAATACCTTATGCACCAAAAAATTTCATCTGTTCTTTCTCTACGGAATTTTCTCTTTAATTTGATACCCATACTGTTTTCCGAAGTACATTGCACAAAATTTTTTAAACCATTTTCTGAATTACTCAATTATTCAATTTTCAAAGTTTTTCAGTTTTACAAATTCTGACGTCAGAGAGAGAAACTAAAAACGCAATTTTACTGCATACATTTGGCCCATGTTTTCGCGAATATATTGATTTTTATTTTGTGTGTAAAATTGTCGGTCGGTTTTCGTATCGGATAACAAATTCGACAATAAAGAGAGTTTGAATGAAATCTCTGACAGAAATTTGTTCCTGGTACACATGGAAAAATTTGTATGATTTATACAAATTGGATGTGAAATAAAAAAGTTATAAGAAAAACCAATAAAAATAAAAGCATTCATATAGTTTTGGTTTTAAAATAAAATCACTTTTCTCAAATAACACACTGTACATTAGGAGGTACACTTGTACCTCTTCTCTTTAATTGTTTATCTTATCTTATCTTCCAATCGAAATCATTTTCAATGTCACGCTTTCTTGTGAATTAATTATGCTTGTCTAATTATAAAATTGTGCACGCATTTTTTTCTTTATTGCCATTCAGTAAAACTTAGACCACACAGCTTCAAAACAACATCACAAAAACACATCTCGAAAAAGCAATTCTTATTGAATGGGAAATATGCAACAAAAATAGTTTTACATATATAAGAATAAGAATATTGGCAGTACGCAAATGCAATGCAATTTTCAGAAAATTAGTTATTTGCCGAATACATACATATGTAACGCCTATGCACTTTATCAATAAAAGGCAAAACATTTCAGTTAACTTTTTGCTATTTGTTATTTTGAGCCAGAATATGGGACCGTATGAATGAAAAAACAAGTAAATTCTTTTTCATAAAATTTCAGACCTTTTACTCGATTTATTTAAACAAAATTTAAGTGAAAGGTATGAAATTTTAAGAAAAAGAATTACGTAGTTTTTATTTATACGACCCATGATGATGTATTGTAGAACGATTTTGGCTAATCCGTTGTCAAATTTGGTTCGGAAGCAAATCGGTTTCGGGGTTGCGTTATTTTTGCCGGAATACCAAATTTAGACATGGCATCGTAGAGGCAGCTGTTACCTCGACCAAAATCATTTAGGCGGTTGCAGGGCCAAAAGATTAGTTTATAGGTTGATGAAAATATTAAAATATATTAAACACACGTCTTGAATTTTTAACAGTTGTCTATTGTTTTACTAAATAAGCAATTTTTTCATTGAACAATAGTAACCTACTATACGTACATTAGGGCGGTTTAATTTTTTTTTGACTATGCGCGCGTATAGCGTATGAGGGTTCTATGTATAATTCTAAGCAAATTTACTGAAGAAACTATGGGTCTAAAATCAATTTGGAGTTGCCAAATTGCGAAAATAGGTTTCGAAGAACTTTTCAAAATTTTCACCGTTAAACACTTTATAAGACACTACAGTTAAATACTAAGAATCCTGTTTTGCAATTTGGCAAACTCCAAATTAATATATGACCCATAGTCGAGAAAATCTCGAAAATCAAATTAACCCGACCTACTTATTTTTTGATTTATTTATATAATTTTCTTATCTATTTTATGTACCAAAATCAACATCGAAATACTTTTTGTTACTTTTCTAATAATAACTCGCATATCAACTTCAACCATCACTTGTTTTGTGGCTTGTCATTAGGACAACATTTTGACAATTGTTAGCGCAACTACATATGCACAACTCGAATTGCAACTCTACTCAACAATGTGTCATTTACGCAAATTGGCACAAATTGCTAATGCCAACAGGTAAATACACAATATGTATGTACTCCTATGTTTATCTCTATTGGGTGTACAAATTCATGTAAACCACAAAGTGACAACGGTCAAATAATGGCCAAAAAAGTGACACTGCGAAATAGCGAAAGCCACGCACGCAAATAATTTTTGTAGACCCACCAAGTGTGCGAAAAAAATTGAACACTATCACTACTATGCTATTGCGAGGGCGCCATGGTGCGACACCCCGAAAATAAAACCAGCTTACTGACGGAAATTGAAACAAAGCGATTAACGGTAAAAGAAAGCTAAAAAAAATAAGTATTTAAAAACGAAACGGGAAGCAGTAGTAATCAGTGGCGGATTTGATCTAAGGCACAGTAGGACCGGGCCTAGGGCGGCTAGATATTAGCGACACTTAACCCTAACGAACTTTATAATAAATTACTAAACTTACGAAATTAAGCAATTCAGAAGTCGACGAAGAGGCTGAAATATTACAAACGGTTTATTCTACTGAATTAGAAGACAACTTTTCAGAAGAATGTCTCCACTTTCGTGAACAGTGCAGTATCAGAAATGAGGATCGACAGAGTGCTATCAGTTTGTTGGAATGGCTAAGAGCTGAAGGTCTTCAAACAATTTGCCCAAACGTAGACATCACTCTTCTCAAGTGTATGTGCGAGCCGCAAGTTCGTGGGTTCGAGTAGAATTTCATTTTTTTTAATTCATTCAATAATTGTTTTTATTTTCTTTTTAAATGTAATTATAGTTGTAGCCTTTTTAAATAAAATTAAGCTCCAAAAATGTTAATTATGTAATGCCGGATTTCCACTCGGTATTAAATGACAAAAATTGTAATGACAAAGTTGAGCATTAATAAATATTCGCGATGAGAGTTAAAAAATAATGATTAAATTTCATTTCCTCTTGACATTTTTTAAATGGCACACATTTTTTTTTTTCATTTAAATGCCTAGTGGAAATTCGGCATAATAATGATATAAATAATATATAATTAAACAAAAGGCAAAAAAGTAAAGTAAAAGAAAATATATACGTACGTAAATCAAATAAAATAAAAGGAATGAAAATAAAAAAATATTGGGTCCTATAGAATTATAGTACGGCTGCCTATGCTTTAAGTATACTGGGCCGGCATAAGAGTGGCAATGAAGCTATTATCATTTCGTATATGGGGCGCCACACGAAATACACCTTAGCGTCTTTTGAGAAATTTTACGGGATGACCGAAAGAAAACGTAGCAACTCAAAATTTATAAATATATATGAAAAATTAAAAATCGAATTTTTGGTGTGTTTCTTCGTGCTGCGTCACATATGTATGTATGTTGTAAGCTCCATTTCGTTCGAAACAAAAGATCCCTGATTTTTTATCCATACATTCCCAAGATCGCAGCGGGGAGCGACTACAGGACTGATGAATCGGTACCTACCAAGTAAACTCCATCGATTACCGACCAACTACTTGCAGTGTATTTCAGCGGTTACTATTACAAGGCAATTTCCTAGGCGGTAGTCAACATCGGCTCTCTCTGCACTACCAGGAGTTACTAAAATAGTCACTTGCGTGAGTTATGGGCGCCCTCTGTCGTAGTTTTTCGCTATTCTGCTTCCGATTGCTTCGACTCTGCACCATCATACGCACTACTACAGGTTAATAGAGTAGCTACTTACCTAGGAGTCGGCGTAGTAGCGGTTCAAAAGTAACGGTTGACTCCAGCAGTACTGGAGGGTATTTGTATTTACATGTAAGTGTGTTATAGTTACTTATTTCGCGAATTTTTCATAGGGATGAAACGATACGAGTAAATACAAGTACATACTCGATACCTTTTGTTCGATAGCAAGTAATTTTGGTATCGATACTTTTGAACTAAGTACCGAGTAGGTGTTGAAAAATAAATACGCATATCGAAACCCGATACTAAGGCAAATTTGGCTTCAGCAATTTTTCCTCCACTGTTATTGCGATTATGATGCGCCTTGGTCTTTATGGCTGCTTAATTGCCAACGAAAACCGACAAATGCAACAAAGTCGATATGGTGCAAAGAGTACACGCCCCAAATGCTTCACCAAAGTCGATGTAATGCGACATCTACACAGCCCACGGCTCAGTAGCCTGCGAAGACTTTGAGCAAAATGCCAGGAAATACGTACACTGAAAAGACTAGCGGAAAATACTAAAGGTAGTAGAAGTCTAGCTCTTTTATTGAAAAACATAAACAAAGAAGAAAAAGAGTTGATCAAAAAAATAGCTGTTAAATAGAAATATTATTCCAGTCGGCGGTATCTAGATACTAGAAAATCTTTCATTTTTTAAATGCTTTCAAGAATTTCTTTTAGTAAAATTTCATTCAGTTTTTGTACTCTTCACACTTCCATATATATGTGCAAATATCTTATTTAAATATTTTGCTCATAATTTTTGTTTATAATAGTACATTTCCACAGCACTAAAATTTATTAAAAAACCTATATTCCACAACAAAACTACAAGATGACTTCTTCTCACAAATATTTTATGGGCAAATTTTTTTCTTAAACGGCATTAACTTTCTAGTAGTCTTTTCCAATAAGTTGTATGTGTCAAAACCCTTTCATCATTAAATATATATTTATGTAGTTTGGAGTTTAGGATTCTCATATAATTTTAATAAATTATGTTCATAAGGAATAACTTCACAGTCAAAAGTATCGATATGAGTAGGTAGCGATACTTTAGATCCGATATTTTTGAGATATCGATGCTTTCTTTCGATACTACTTCCCAGTAAATCGATATCATCCCCACTTTTTCATTTTCTCTTTTTTTTTACTTTTCATTGACTATTTGTTCAGCCGTCCACACATTCACTTTCATGCCGCGCAACCACATGCATGTCAGTTTTACTCAGCTGTGCACATTTATTGAGTTTACCTAATTTTTTTAACCATACTTTGCTTTGCTTTTTATTTATGTTTCAAACATGACTGTATGTAGTATACAACAACCGACCAACATCTACTCCATTTGGCGCACATTTTATGTGATTATTCGGTCACTTTTTACCTCGCAATTTCTTGTAATTTTTTTCATGTTACTTCAATGTGTTTATCTAATATTTTTACAATTAGGCAGCGTACAATAAAGCTCTCGATAAGCGTTTGCCTTTGTGAGCGGACTTATCGTTAGCTCACTTTGAACAAAACAATTTTTTATCTGACCTATATCTCTTGGGACTTGAATATTTTTGAAACACAATGCAAAAGCAAATGATCAGTAGTTAAAATTAAGTGTGCTATATTTTTCTCATTTTTGATTATAAGTTGCCCAGACTTTTACTTTAATCAGCTTTCAGCATCTATCGAAATTGCACAAGCAATACATAGAAACTATTTTCAAAGAACTTTTGGAGTACCTTAGAACAAAATGCAAGCGTTATTACTCAAATAACGGCTTATGTACTTAGTTGAAATATGCCTTAGTCGATATGTAAATAAATTATAAATTTCTCACATTCACTTGCAATAGTGTACTATCAAATAGTTTTTAAATATAAACAGAAAAATGCATTACCCCTTTCATTTCCTACATTTGCCTATATCTTTTCCTAAGATTAAAACTAAATTAATAAATTGGCTCAGAAATGCATGTACTCGTATATTATTTATTATATAGTTTATACACAGATACTCGTATATTGCACGTATAGTTGAAAAATAATAGATTATGTTAATTAACTAAATCGCATTCCAATTCTTCATTCGATTTAGGTTAATAGGTAATAAATGGTTCGATTTGTTGTAACTCTTTCTTCAATATTTTTTTAACTAAAAAAGTAATTTAATTGCAAATATGCTTTACTTACTCGTTGCAGTTGGTATTTGTGCACCATGTGTGACCAATGTGGCGATTGTCTGTAAATGAATTAAAGGAATATTTATTTATTTATACATATTTTACAAAATGAAATGTAAGTCACATACAATAATAATTGTACTACATAGATATACGTAGTTATTAAAATACATTAAAGAGAAATATAATACGACTAATGACCTAATGTGCGAGATGGCTAATTGGAGAAGCCTTGAGTCACGGCAAAAAGAAAGGGAGCTTCGGTGGACCACTCCTACTTATTCGGTTTAGGGCTCACTGAAGTCTGCAGCGTCTGTCAGTAGGTGCGGCTGCAAGCGGCACGCAGTGGGTTCTGCGCCGGGTTTGTTATCCCCTACGTAAAAACTACTTCTAGTGAATAGAAAAAAAAAAAACTCGGATGATGACGACCACGGCATACGATTCGAGGGTAGGCATCTGGAATGTCCGAACCCTAATAAGGAAGGTGCTTCTGCCCAGCTGGTTGATGTCCTCGTAAGGACAAAAGCTGACATCACCGCTATCCAAGGAATGCCTTGGACGTTGGATAAGATTCTTCGTTATCACGCTCATCTGCACCCATACCCCGATGGAAGAAAAGGACTAGGCGTCAAAGAATCTTTTCTATCACCGCTTGGAGCGTACAAACGTGACGATATCAAAATCGAGCTTGACGATCTCAATGACAAGGGGAGCAAGGAAATAATATCGGCTTCTACGGGGCGCGAAACATGCTAGTATGCAGTTCTAGGTTCATCCATTTAGCTACTTTGCTGTTATCAGATCAAAAACGAGAAACCAATACGATCATGTTGTGATAGACGGAAGGCACGTTTCCAGTGTTTTAGACGTACGTACACTCCGAGGGATACACATCGACTCGGACCATTTTATTGTTGCAGCCAAGATAGGCACCCACCTCTGTGCAGAAAAGAGTGTGCGCCCAACAATGCAAGGGAAGCTCAACGTCGAAAAAATGCAATCAGTACAGACGGCCAAAGCATTCGCCACTCGACTCTCAAACCGAAATTTGTCTAGTAGAATGACAGGTGGTTCTCCACTGTCTATCTGGTATTTACATCCTTGGTCTGTATCCAGGCTCCCACACAACATTCGAGGAGTATTTTGAAGCCAGAATGTTGGGAATCCTTCTGCGTTCTATGGCAACTTTAGACGTTGTACCGTTAGATTTTAAAGATTTAATAGCAGTTTGGCTGTCAGGATAAGTATATAGGGATTGACTGTTCTAGAAGGGCAGAAGCCACCGAGAAGCTTCCATAATGGCGTTTATCTCTGCTTGGAAAATGCTACAATGGTGCGGTAAGCAGAAGCTGAGGTTTAGTGCAAGTTCACCAGAGTAAATCCCGCTGGCCAGTCTTTCGTTTAGCTTATATGGCCGTCAACACTGCGATTCTAATATAGTAGAGGTGTGGTATAATCCAGCTGTCGTAGATTGTCCGCTAGAGCTCTCTCCACCGCTAGATTGTTTTAACCTGGAATCACACCAGCCGGCGAGATATTTTCCCTAGAGAAGTGGATTTCATATTACTTCCAGAGGTTTGGTGGACGTTCTCTGAACCCGTTCCTGGTTAGCTTTGGACAAAGTCTTCTTTAACGCAGGTCATCATACGATGACCCCATAGAAGAGGATAGGTCCTTTTACAGCTGAATACATACAGTCTACTATGTGAGGTTTTATTCACAACTGTTTGCCTATAGCCGTCTTACAGGCATACAGGGCGGTATTGACCATCCTCTCTAGCATAATCCCAAGTTACTTGATTTAGGTTGAGACAGTAAGTTCTACTCCGTTTAAGGTGAGAGGCTTAAATTGACGAACTTCATACTTGCTCGTGAAGAGTAACATTTCGGTCTTAGTAGGATTAATGCTAAGTCCACTTAACTTACTTAAGACTTGCAATGTCATCAGCGTACGCTATGACTTGATAGCCAGTGCCATTTAGATTATGCAGTTACAGTTACTTGGCTATGTTCAATTGCTACTCTTGAATTCCAGTTCGTGCATCCTGGGCATCGTGGGCAACACATGCATACTGTCTGTGGAGCCTAGGTCCAGGTATAAAGAGTGGCAGCTGTAGGTGAGCCATAACGCCTAAAACAACAGACTTAGCTGCTATTTTCGGAGCTTGGACTGGAGTAGCCATAAAAACTCCCGAAATAAGTACTGCGGCATTTCGTCGGCCGAGATGTCGGCAGCGGCTCTAACTCATCACGCTTGAATCACGTATAAATACGAGTATGGTATTAAGGCAGTAACGCCAAACTCGCTCTGTTCTAGATAGTAGTAAGTCCCTGTTAGCCACATTCGTAAATAACATAATCAGCTCAAAGAAATTCTGCTCAAAGCTTTACCATCCCATGCCTGTCTGAACTTTTTTCACATCAGTTTACAACCAGCCCAGGAATGTTTAGTGAATACCTACATTCACATGCATGTGCATATATGTATGTATCTATGTATATATATATGTGCATAAGTTCATTTGGAAATCTTCATACATTCTTAATCCATTGAATGAATTTAACGTGTCCGATGGTAAATTAGGAAATTAATTTTCTAACCAAAAGCCGACAACTGCAGATTAACGGATTTTTTTTTTTTTGCTCAGCACATTCCAGCCCACCGCAAAAAAGGTACACAAATTCAATTGCAATTATTAAGCTACCAGTAAACATCCGTTATAGAGAAAATTTATAAAACTGCATTCCCACGTTTCAGCCTAGAGTTGTAGACACTTTCGCCAAAATTACTTGCAATCTAAGGAAAATTAGTATACAAGCCGTGGTGCATTAAAGAACTTGACGAGATACCGTTTCAGCTTAACCGCCATGCTGCCGTGGATGTGTGTACATGACTGGCAGACAAATTATTTTCAATGAATTGCTTTGAAGCTATGTATGTATGTATATACATTAAGGTGGTCCAAAAATGCATGCGGAAAGTAAAGTCGCAATTTTTATGCTCTCACCACCTGGGATACTTCTATACCGAAACAATATTTTTTTTTTTTTTTTTTGAAATCAAAAAATATTTAGATGTCGCTTAAAGCACTTAAGGTTATCCAGGTATTTTATATGAGAATAAACAACTTTTTGTAGAAATGGTATAGAATTCTTAAAAATCAATATTTTTCGATCCGAATACTGTTTTTATTTTCATAAGACTCGCAAAATAATACCCCATTGTTTATTTAACCTTTTTTCATAGTAACTCTATTTCATAGGTCCCCAAAAAAAACCACTGAAAATGCCTACCCATAAAAACCGATAGTATTAAAAAATAGTTTAAAAAAACAATTGGGTATTGTTGTTGAAAGTCTCCTGAAGAGTTTCAAGAATTCTATACCATTTCTACGAAAAGTTCATTTTCCCCTTAAAAAATATATGGACAATTTATATTATAAATGTTTCGTATAGAACAATCATAGGGGTGAGAGCATTAAAATTCCAACTTTACTTTTTTCACCCTAATGTACATATATATACACATATGTATTGGGAATAGCTGAAAATGTGAAGAGCTGTTTATACTAAGTATATGTACATATATATATATATATGCGTTGGTTGCAGTTTAGTTAGGACACTATGTGGAACATATTCATTGACCCTATGAGGTCAATAAGAGCAATTCAATTGAGCACTCGTGGTTCCCGATGCCACACTAATGCATTATATACTTGCAAACAAAAAAATTTATTTTTTATAGTGAAATCAATATTTTGGTATAATTATATGGAATGTGTGCTACTTTTCTTCACATTTATGTGTACAGTGTGAAATTTTCATTCTGTGCAGGTCACCCATTTTTTTATGCACATCCAGAGATAAAGGTAAAGAACTGAAAATTATTTGGCTTCTATCAAATTTATTATACGAATACGAGCTTCAAGATCATTTTCGAACCCACATTGGTCAAGCTTTATCTAGAGATCCATCCCTTATTTACTATGTGTGGTAGACAAATTATCTCATGGGCAGCTAACAAGAGGCAAAAGGCATATTAATGCGTTCTTTTTCAGGTATAATTTGCTTGATCTCGCTCTTGTTGTAAGTGACCGGAAACCCAATTTTGGTTAGAATTATTCTGTATTTAGGATCTCCATAAAAATTTCTACCCAAACAATATTTTGAACACACCGGTTCGTCCTGTCCGGAAAAAAGGTCAAATCAATGCAAAATACCAAAGTAACCCAGGAGTAATGCCTCTTTCTGAGTTATATCTCTTAACGAAGAGCAGTAAGTGTTGCCACTTGTAATCCCATCCTGTCAAATGGTAAGAGATTTAAAAAGGCGTTGAAAGCGTTACACAATGGAACTACAACAGCCAAGAATAGTAAAACCGGACGAGGTAATTCTGGTACTGAAGCAAATGGAGGGAAGACCTGCTGTTTCCGAGGAAGTTCTGCTGTTTCTGTGGAATTCGGAATCCATCTTGCATCTGCAGAAACTCAGTCGAGTGTTAGTATCCAGAAAAAGTATTTCTTAATCTGTCAATCTCGGGTCTGCTGTCGACAGCGGCATACTTAACTCAAAAAAATTGTATTTTCGATTATAATGTTCCCCCAGAAAGTCTTCAGGAAAATTCAATAAATATATTCTAAACTAAAATTTCTGATAAACTATATACTTACGATTATATGCAGCGCCGCATAGACAAATTGTGTGAATTCCTTCATTTTGCTGTAAGAAAAAGAAAATATAAATTCAAATTAATTTGGATCATTACGAATACGAAGATCATAGTAATCCATAACTAGTGATCGATATCTATTAATAAATTTTAATAAATCGATAACTGAACGGCATCGATAATTCTGTCCATAGTTATATCGATAACGACACCTATGACAACATTTCTAACATTATTGATATACATACATACATACATGCATGCATATGTAACTATGTAAAGCTAACAAAATTGGTCGGCTACTTCCAAATCAAAACAAAAAAAAATTTAAAAAAATGTTTCGCGCAAAACTCAAGCGGCACTTACTATTTATTAAACAACATTCGCGATTAATGATCTTTCCAACAAAATCCGCTTGAGATTAACCCACACAAATTTATAACAATGGTAAATATTCAAAATGGAACCACAAACGCACCATCCAATGTATTTTCTATTTTATTAATTAACACTTTTTGCTGTTTCCAACTTAGCAGAGATTAATTGGCAACAACGCACGCGTCGTTTTTATTTATTATGAAAAAAAACTGCAAATTGAAAAAACAGCGAATTGGGTACATTAAAGTAATCGCATTTTTGGCTACGAAAGGCTTCGGCTGACAACCTGAAGTAGAAAAGTTAATTTGTTTTTGATATCTTCGCTCATTTGCTAGCGTATGCTTTAATGGTTTTTGTCTATTCATTTGCCAAAACCTAAGCGATGTATTTTATTTTTTTTTTTTGAAAGAAATTCACTATGCTAAGCTGATTAATTGTGGTTCAACATGGAGCATGTTTTTGCCCCCGAGGAAATCAAATTTCATACCAACGTTGATTTCTAAACATTTATGTACATTTTTGTTTCCTTTAAAGAAACAAAGCTGTACCTCAGAAGGTGTGGTCATTTTAAATACATTAGAAGTCAGATTTAATATTTATACATAAGTGATAAGATTAAAATAAAATCAAAGTACTATTTTGCAATCATATATCCTTTAAGGCGGCCAGGGAAGTGAAATCACTCACAGGCAAAGTACTTCACGGCGACAAGTCCTACATCCGGTATTCTTAAGACACTTAAAAGACTTATTGATGGGAAAGGTAGATCTATAGAAAGCGAAAGCGCTCCACGAGGTTGCTATTACTATCGATAAATCTATAGAATTTAAGGAATATTTATTTGCAGGCTTCTCACAGTGGTTTCCTATAAATTTCCATCGCTAAAAATCTGTAATTGAATAATACTTGTGCCTTAAAATAGACAATGCCTCCAGGGAATCATACCATATCCATATCGGCTTTCGCGTTATATAATTTTACAACAAATGGAGCTTTTTATAAATTAGCGTAGCGATTTCTAGAATCTCGCTGAAGGAGATTTAAAGGGTCTTCACTAATGTCTGGAGGCAAGGAATAGGCAGGATACCCCTAAAACAATGCAATAGCGAACTTGTTTAAAGCAATAAAAATGAAGCTTGTCGCCAATACCAGCGACTTGGTAATACTTATTTCAGACAAATTCCAGCCAAGGATAAGTGAGCTAATAAATATAAGAAGCACTAGAAGCACCCCAATGCGGCAACCAGAATGACTTTGGAGTCGACCTCTTCAAAATTGGCCTGATCTCGTTCACAAAAACAAAACATAATTTCCCGCCTTTTCTCTGCCTAGAATATAGGAGGCTAATTAGAAACTCTCCACTAAATTAAATGAATGCCGAAGGGGTTTAGAAAACCATGGCGACTTTGCCGTAGATCACTAGGGGATTTAATTGCTCATGTTGTTGTCGCAAATGGCACCCTAATATTTAAGGAAGTCAACTTGTGGAAACTAACCAACTCTGAGTGAAAGCAAGGTTGACTTAGAGAAAATAACACGAACAAAAGGAAACCAACCAGTGGCAGATGAAGGTATATCCATCTACATAAATGGTTCGAAGATGGAGCACAAAGCCGGTCTGTATTCAGAGCACCTGCAGATCAGTGGACCAAACAAGTTGAATGTAAAGCATTAAGATAATCATGGCCGCGATTAAAAAAGAAAAACCGGAAGACCTTCTGAAACTTAACAGACTTAAATTAATAGTTCTACAGTCGACTGCGCTATTACATCGGTGATCCAGTGATGGCGAATACAAACCAATCCTGTCTGAAAAATGGACCGCAATGAGTAGGAATCAATCGACTACTTTCTGTATCGATGTCCGGGCCTTCAATCGAAGCGATTTAAACACATCAGTGGAGCAGATATTGAAGGTGGATCTCTTGAATCCCCGTAACTTCATTTGGGTTGGCAAGTGATTCATCAGGCTAATGCCTTAATTATTGTTTCTCTTCTCTTTGTTAAAGCAATCCCGTTATTGGATTCTGCCTACTGCTGGTACTCACTCACGGATGGCAATCGTGATGGACAACTTCTTTTCGAGTTGAGATATGGAACTATTCCTACACCCTTTCCTAACATGGCCTAATATCATTGATGAAAATCGACAGTATATTTGCGACGTGGATATTTTCACATCATTGAACTTTTTGCCATTGTACAGCGATTAGTTACTAAATATGTATATTCATCACTTTTTGTAGACGATTTGTGGCACTACATTTTATATTAACTGTCAATTAACAGCGAAACTCTAACTTCAAACTTCTTGGAACTACTTGGAACATATTTTCATACACTGCAGAAATTTATGATAGGGTTTTGTGTAACAATGAGGCGTATATTGTGACGCGCTATTGGAAACTGCATAAACATAAATATATTTTACGATAAAATTCGATACTTAATTTTTTCGCTAAGCGAAGTCATTTTGTATGCCATAAAAAAATTTAAGCTGCTAATATGTCGACATCTTTTTTAAGTGCTAGTCCTCATGGTCGTAATACTTTTAATTGTGTGTAAATTTTTATAATACACTGTCGGAAAAGAGCATTGGCACTGAGAATTTTTTACGATATATGCCATAGTTTTTGTTTTTATTTTTTTCCGCTAAAAATATGGTTTATACTAACAAAAATAATAAAAAAATTTAGTTTCTTAACTTTGTGCAAAATTAGGGGAAATTTAATCATTTTTCAAATTTTTAATCAGATTATCTAGATTTCTTTTGGGTATGCAGTTTTGTAGCCTAATAAATTTTATTATTAAGAAAGTGCAAGTTTGAAGTATTTACTGTTGATTTCTGGCAATTTTTCACGCAGTTTCTTCTATACAACAAAAAAAAATTCAAAAATACTTTGCATGGAAATGATGCGAAACACCTTCAAAAAAAATAAATAAATTTTAAAATCAACGCCATTTTTGACTAACTTCAAAGTGGCATTTTTTATGCTATAATTTAATGCGCTACAAAACTTCATACCCAAAAAAAATCAAAAAATAACAGAATTTTTGGCGAGTTTTGCGCAAAGTTAAGAAACCATATTTTTATATTTTCTTGTTGCAGACTGAACCATATTTTTATAAAAAATTAGCGGAAAAAAATTTGAATTAAAATTGTGGCATATATTGTAAAAAACTCGCTGTGACAATACTTTTTTCCGCCAGTGTATTCCTATGCATCTTTTAATGTATGCAGTTAGTAAAAATTGAAACTTTGGACATAATACAAATTTATTTGCTATAAAAATAAACTTTTGTATGTAATAAATAATTACATTCTGTTATAGGAAAGCATCCATTGTCGGCAATCCCATTAGGTTACTTATCGCTACTAATAAATCTCCAGCATTTTAGTTGCATATTTAAATGTTGAAATAAATATCTTTACCCAACTTTATGAGTTTTTAATACAAAAGTAATAAACACTTATATGATCGATTACTGAAACTCAATTAGAAATCAAAATAAATAGGAAGAAGTTTGTTGCTAAAGTCTTTCGTAAAATCTCACTAAACACAGTTTTGAAATACCATTTTCAACAGTTTCTCACTCTTTTTTGTTAGCCAAATATTGCCATAAAATAATCAGAGGAAAACTATTTAAATAAAAAATTCGAAAACATTAGCGCTTGCTGAAATGTATTTTTTGTATCTCATAAAAAAATTCAAATATTTTTATTGATTTCTGTGGTCTGCTGATAAATTGACGCAATTGACCTAAATAAAAGATATGTATGTAAAAGGCGAAAGAGCGTCACAGCGTAAGGAGTAAATAAACCCATAAAGCGACAAAGCTAAATGCCCCAAAGGCCAACGGTCATCAGCAATTGGGCTAACAAATAGAAAAAGAAATATTTATTGACCAGCTATGGCAACATGCATATATATTTATATACCCAGATGTATCTAGTACATAGTAAGTAATATGCATGCCACAGTAAACAAAGGAAACATGACAAAAGGTAGCATGCAAAATTGGCTGCAGGCTAAACATCCAAATAAGAGGCGAATTAAGGTTCAATATAAATACATACGTACATACGTTTCTTTTTATCTCATATGCAGCATTTGTCACGTCTTAATCGTACTATGAATGCAACTAGCAAAATATGCTTTGACTATTAGTACCTGAAAAAGTTAAGCGCTCAAATTAAAATGCATTAAAAAAAATGTTACAGCCGTTGCCGCCGTCCATACTGTTCACCACGAACGTATCTAGCGTTGGAGTAATCAATTAAAAAATAAATCTTAATTGAACCAGTGACTATGGCTGTTGGCAATAAAAATGTTAAATTTTGCAAAAAAAAATAACTCTGCAGTAATCAACCCCATTTTAGCTATTTTTTATGTTTTGTTATACGTTTTGAAGGCATTCATTCTTAGTAGCCAATGAACATACCCACTTTAATTAGACAATTCTGGCTAAGATAGTAAATAGTATTTTGTAAGACAAATGAAAGACACATATTTAGCAAGATACTTCGAAGGATTCTTATTATTCTAGGTCAAAAGTCTTACAAAAAACGTCCTCTCATTTCATCACTCCTGGGGAAAAGTCATTTTGAGCGAAAGCACTTGCACGGCACGTTCGTTCCAGCAATCCAGTGACTACAGAACAGGCGTGCCAT